ACACTGGGTTCCGGGGCCGGGTAAAAAGTCGGACTTTTGGGTCGCTCTTTTTTCGCCTTTTTTCGTTCTTTTTTGGCTTTTTTTTTCGAAAAAAATGCGAAAAAAAAAGCGACCCAAAAGTGCGACTTTTTACCCGGCGCCGGAAAAAATTGGAAAAAAAAGCGAGCAATAGTGCACCAGAAAGTGGACCCTCCCCCAAAAGTGCATCAGAAAGTGCGCCAGAAAGTGGACCCTCCCCCAAAAGTGCGCCAGAAAGTGCGCCAGAAAGTGGACCCTCCCTCAAAAGTGCGCCAGAAAGCGCGCCAGAGCGTGGACCCTCCCTCAAAAGTGCGCCAGAAAGCGCGCCAGAGCGTGGACCCTTCCAAAAAGTGCGCCAGAAAGCCCGGCTGAGCGTGGACCCTTCCAAAAAGTGCGCCAGAAAGCCCGGCTGAGTTGTTCCATTTTTGCTTGCAATTTTGTTTGCTTGTTTTTTTGCTTTTATGATTGCTTTTGTTTTTCTGGTTGCATTTTGGGGTTGCTTTGTTTTGCTCTTTTTTTGCTTTGGTGATTGCTTTTGTTTTTCTGGTAGCATTTTGTGATTGCTTTTTGTTTTGCTTTTTTAAACTTCTAGAATAAAGGGGTCTGGCAGACACAAACATAATGACGCAAACATACGCAAATAAACAGAACGGACGAACCCTTACCGTGAACAAGAAACACCTTCGTTGGCTGACAAGCTACTTGAACCAGTTGGTGCTGAAGGGTCCTGCCCACTGCTGCAAGGCGTAGTGGAACTCCTGCCGTTTGCAAACCGACCCAGTGAAACCTTGTGGATCCAACTACATCCTCTAAACTTCTAAACCGACCCAGTTCACATCCCCAACCACCGAATCTTATAGGATTCATCCTGAGGGAAACAACATGATGAGAGATCGCAACAAATGATTCTTCAGATCAAGTGGTCTGCATCGAGGGGGAGGTATCACCAAGAACATCATGTGAAAATTGATGAAGGAAAGAAACCTGGATCTGAATAATGCTGCCATGTTGCCGCATGGGCAAGGCATGTGCAACAACATGGCTGCGTTGCTTAGCCACATAGTCCATACAGCCATCAATCCAGTGAATCCCACCAAAATATGTGAGAACCGCAGAAAAGCACTGTATGATCATGAAAGCACCGAGAGCTGCTGGATGTCAGTGCTGACAGCCCCAGCATATTTTGAAATAGCAAAAACACATATAAACATATATATATATATCATCTGGACCATTTCACATCCGGTCCATGCTTTCACTCCCGTCACTAAAGATTCCCCAGATTCGGAAGACACTCTCGATGCCGACCCGACGACCGACCCGTCGACCGACCTCCCGGTTTCGGAGACACGGTCGATGCCGGTGTCCCACCGTCCCGGTTCCCTCCTCCGGATCCCAGCCAAACTCGCCCTGGATCAACAGGTCCACCGTGCTGGCATGGTGGCGGTTGTGCTCCAAAACAAATTCTTCCCAAGGCAAGGAGAAGAAGTCGGCAAAAGGATGGGTCAAGAACTTTTGCCAGTCGTACCTGGCGTCTGAAACACACATCTGAAGCTCGAACGAGCGATTCACACACAGGTGATGTCGAAGCAATCCCCAAGCAATCACAGGCATTCGAAGGAGGGAGGGTGTGTGTATATAATATATATATATATATGTTGGTTCAATGTTGGGATACCAGGTGAGAAAAAGAACAAAACATCTACTCCACCAGAGGATGCTCTTTAAATGATTTTTCTATGATCTTCGGATCTGAGATCGCTCCAAAGACTTGAATCCAATCCGCCACCGCAGCAACTGCCACATCTCGCCCCCGACTCTCGCCGAGATGCACCGGGAATGTTGCGCCATGCATCACCTGCATCGGTCACAAATGGGAAGCACCACCTGGTGACCAGGATCACCCACAGCTCACAGGGTTTCCACATCCGAAAAGCGAAAGAATTACTGTCCAAATCTGTTCAATCAACTTCTGTGTTCTGCAGGGGCACAGCTTCTGTGACTGACAAACCGGTTGGTGACTGCGGTAAATGTCAAGGCAATCAGGTCCTGAAAATCTATTGATTAACTATACAGTGTACAGTGTCTTACTATACAGTGCCCCGTGTTTCCATTGTAATTCGGTGAACATCTCAACAGTTTGGACGTAACCCAATGAGCACATGAATGTATATGGCCATAACTCGCATAAGTCGCACACCTGACACACTGATTGACAAGAGCACTGTGAAAGAAGCAAGTCTGTCCAATGCCCAGAAGCTTCAATGCTTCCTTAAGCCTTCTTTAGCAGCCTGTTCTAAGAGGAATCAATACGTTATGTGTTTTTGTTCATGTGTTTCCTATTGCAGCAGGGTCACGTCATGGTCGATATAAATATTCTGAATCGCAATGTAGGAGAACGGGATCCCGAAGAGCAGAGTACAAGTCCACCAGTAATCGGGCAACGTCGCCAAGGCACCGCAATAAGCGATGACCATCAACACCTGTAGGTCAACTGGCTCCAAAAAACGGGTGTCATAGACCCAAAAGACGTATAGCAAAAGGAACCTGTCTACACGTTCCCCTCCGGATTCTGGAAGTTCTGGGTCTCTTTAGAGTCTCTTTATCTCTTTTATTTGAGCCGGGCCCAGTTGGCAACAAACAAAATTAAGCATGTGGGATGTAGCCTCGTGTAGGTGCCACTTGAGGATGAGGTACTTGATTCTGTAAATCAGTGCATGCTTACCCCTTGGTGTGTGACGTGCATGCCACAGCCTTTCTGTCAGTGCCACGGGGCAAAAGTGATGACATACAGTATAGGATAATAATCAATTAAGGCTTACGTTAAGCCCATGTCAGAATGGGCCTCGTTAAGCCAATGAGTTGGTGAAGAAAAGTTCATGAGATGTTCAGCTCCAGAAATTGGCATGATGAATGATGAACGCATGAGACACTCCACTTTCATGGACAGATTCCATCAAATGACTTGTGTTCACACGGATTCACCCTGTGGACTGGAATGCCCCCCTGGCAGCCGTGCCAGGTTTGGGGAGTTCTTCCTTCAATGCTAAAGCGTTTTGTAACCTAATAGCAAAGGAATCTAAGAGCGATGGCCTCCACCCTAGTAGCGATGGCTGCACCTCTCCTGAGAGCCATCGCACCAACCGTGGAGGCCTGGAGGCCCGCAGGTTTTCTTACATGACCCGACCGTGGGTGCAGGAGGAAACTCCATCAAGTCCACCAACAGTACCCAGAACATCCATGTATAGTATACTGACATTGGGGTCATAAATGGGGAACATATGGGAAAGTGTAGATATTCCATACATGGATGATCTGGGGTGTGTCAAACGAAGATCCTTCATGATCCCAGCACCTGGCCCACGAAGATGGCTGTCAAGACGTTCCACATGTACATCATCTGCTCGGGCGTAATCTTGGTGAAGAGGAACGCCAAGTTTTGAGGCATGGGATCCGGCTTGTTGGCCGTGGGGAACAAACGTTTGGTGATCAAGCTCCGGTTCTCGTTGTCCTTCTCCACCTGAAGTCTTCAAAAGGACAATGTGGCGGCGACAAGTGAAGTGAAGTCAATGCGATCTCCACGGGCTTTTTGCATGTTTGAAGTGTACATGTACAAAACTTCGCTGAAGAAAAGGCTCTGCTAAATATTACCAGAGTGGCAGCTCTATTTGGTGGACCATTTGATGAGGCCTAAACTCCTAAACAATATCTTACAGATTTCAATCAATGTACACTGGATTCCACCCTAAACCCTAAACCCACCTTTTTGTATCATGTTGGTTCCCCAAACATCCAGTGACCCAAAAGGTTTTTGTTTTTTTAAAGTACCTGCCCCACGTGATCCTTACCACTTAATCCACTTCAATAAAGACAGTTCCTACTGGTTCTAATGGTTCTACCCCTCATCCCATCAAAACCAGATAAAAACCAGGTCCGTTCCGAACTGCACCTTCAGCATCTTATCCTGGCTCTGGGCGACACCTGCTGCATTGGGATCCGCCTCACCCGGCAGCAGGTTCTTCATGGCCGCAATCTCATGGTCATGGGCATACCTGGCAAAGCGGTGGCCAAAACCCAGCGTCCCCAGTCCCACCAAAAAAGGATTGGTTTGATCCATTGGATCTTCAGATCTTCATGTGAGTGTTGTTCACTGAGAATGGTTTCTCTTGCATCGTGGTTCAGACAAGTTTGTTTCGCAACGCTTTTTGCGAGCTTTCACGCACGAACAGATCGGGAAATCTATTGTGAAATCCTTTGCGAAACTAGGTGTGTCATTACCTTTCGCAAAGGCATCGTGCATTAACCTATCTTCGGTTTTTGGCGCTGCTGCTGTGGAGGTCCGAGTCCTCCAAAATGCATTGAGCTTTCGTTTTTGATTACATGGATTGCCGTGAAAATGCCGCCCAACCAAGCGTGCCAACTTCCAGAGTAAGCAGGATCTTTGGGAGGCTCAACGCACAAGAAAAAGAGCTTGATGCCAACAGAAATTGGGTAATGGCCAGAAAGAGAATACTACACTGACATATAAACACTTACTTGTAGAAGGACCATTTGCCACAATTATTTTCCGTAGGCCCTGGGTCGTGGAGCTATACTGCACAAATTCAATGAATGACTCAACCATGATACTTCTTTTTGAGCTCTTCCAAGTACTCATCGGCCCCGTAGAAGATCGACGCCTTTGAATGGCCACCTTTCTTGCTTTGGTTGCCCAACAAAGGCGCGTTGGTCGCCATTGCTCGCACAGTCGACCCGCTCGAAAATCGCTGTGAACGCACACGGGCGTAACAATCGAAGATCTTGAGCCTGAGCCAGGTAGAGGTCACCACCAACTGGGTGTGACTGATCACTCCAGTGGTTCAAGGGGTGTGCCGTACCGGAAAACTGTCCCAAAAACCGGCCCTTGTGATGCTAGAAGAGTTGTTTTGGATCACAAAATCATTAAGGATGGCAAAGGCATTCATCACGCGCTGATTTCTGTCCTCCTGCATATGAGCAGACGCAGATGCAAAGGCCGCGGCTTGCGCTGCACGGAGCAACTCCTGCGTTTTCCCCAAGTCTTCAGCAAATTGAAAGAGCTTAGCATCTACCTGGATGGCGACAGCCAATGAAGCAAGAGGAGGTTCCACCCCAAATTAAACCGCAAATAGAAACAGTACGAGAAACAAAAGGAGTAATTCCATAACTCATGAAACTGAAAACATGTCCATCTAAATATTTGGGGACCACTCCCATGAGTCAGAGTTTTGCCACACCAACATCGACATTTCCACGTACCCGTTTCCGCTATAAAGGAATGGCAGACACGTGAATAGCGTCGAGTACCGTCTTCTTTACGACACCATCACACCATAAAACCACACCCACTCCCTTTGGTGATCCTTGTGGTTATTTACATCGCTTTAGAACTTTAGAGACCAACCCCCCTCTGCCTGCACTTGGCCACCTCAGTTCATCCACTGCGATTCGGCACGCCCTTGTGACAAGGTCAGATGTCCGCTGTCAAAGGAAGAGAACATGCATGCTTTCAATGGCATACGTTACTCTAACACATCCTGGGAGCCCAAGACTACTTGAGAATGGCCTGACTCGGTGACCCGAGTTGAGGAATCTCCTTTACTTCGCGCGGTGCCAAATATAGCCAAACTGCACTTCTGTAGGTTGTGATTGAATCGGTTGTTGAACTGGACTTCTGTGGCCACAAACACAGAAGGGGGCTTCTCTTTCTCGTGGGTTTCGACTTCGCGCCTTCCGCGAGCGAAAAGAAGGAATCTCTGTTTGCCCAAACGAAAAAGGCCCGGGGGTCTGGCCGGATGTCCAGGCCTGGCCGCCCATGTGGCGACCGCTCGCGGCGCGGCCTTCGTTGTTTCGGCCCCGTGTCGCCCCCGTGTCGCCCCGATGTCTGAGATGGACACCGCCTTGATGTTCGTTCTCCTGGCGACGCTTGCCGAGGCGGTCAAGCTCCGAAAAGCAGCTCATTCCGAGCGAAAGGACCAGTCCAAGGAGAGTGAAGTCTGAGGTTCAAGGAGAGTGAAGATTGAAACTTCCAAATTACAAATGGTGTGCTTTCTGAATTCACTTCTATGTTCACTTCTGAGCTTTCCAGATCGCAAAGGGCCAAGTAAGTTATAAAACCTATATATAGAAACTGGAAAATAAAGCAGTGGCACACAATAAATCACCAGAACCACATACCTTTGAGATCCTTTGTGTACCTCACTTAAGCAAATGCCACGTAAATGCCACAGCTCCGCCCGTTGATGACCGGCTCGCACCTGACCCGGCGATGACCTGATCAAGGGGGGCTGGTCGAAACGGATGGAACGTGAGCTGTTGTTTCGTTTTCCGGACGTCTGAAGCCAACCCAATAGATATTATATCTATAGATATACAGACATATGGCCAAACCCAACGGCTGTCTGAAGCATCACAAAGAAGTGATGAGGACCTCTGGAAGCATGGCAGACACACCAGCGCTCCGGCGGAGTGCGAACAAACACCGCGGTCTTGCGCCGGTGGGTGGATCCGAGCACCGTTTCGGCGTGGGTGGGGGGGGAACCGAAGGATGCGAACGTGAGATTGTCTCACGCATGGCGGATCAAACCCATACACATGGTTTGGGTTGTTGCAAGGTCAGCAGCCCTTTGGAGCACAGCCTGGTAGCATGATTGGGGATACACATTGGGGATACATGAGGATACACAAGGGACTGATGGGAGACCTGTTGTACAACAAAATTGCCTGCAATAAATTCGATCTTATTACATAATTATATATAAATAACATTAAAAGTGAATATCACTAAATATCTATCTTGGCAGAAGAATCAAACCAGATTGTAGTTTCAAACACTCACTACCACCACTACCCTTCAAGGTGTGCAGAACACACGTTTTGAATGTTGTGCGGCGCGTGCGTCGTCACAAAAAACTGTAGAACACATAGCAAACTGCCAATGATTTTATCTGAATACAGACTTTCAGAGTCTCAGTCCCTAGGCAAAATCAGTAATTACTTTGAAGCCCCGAAACCAGGAATAGTATTGATAAGGCTTCAATACCAAAAGCTTGGCAATTGGGCTATGTTTGACTGGCCCTCATTGGGACCACCTCAATCCTCGCCATCACCGGGGCCCCAACGGCGCTGCTGCTGCACCTGAAACATCGTCCGGGACGGGAAGTCAACGGTGAAGGGTTGAAGCTCACACGGTGAAGAGTTGAAGATGCCCTCCCAAAAAGAGAAACAAGTGGATGGAGGCCATCGCTATTACATAGGTTGGAGGCCATCGCTAGTAGGTCGGAGGCCATCGCTAGTAGGTTGGAGGCCATCGCTCTTAGGTGAAGAGTTGTGAATGAGGTGAGGACATCTTTCCAACAGGGAGTCTTGGAGTATCTTGGAGTGCTTTCCTGCTTTGAGTCTCGAATAGTCTCGGCTATTGCGGTCGGCTTTCTTTTCTATATTTGTCCAAGCGTTGTGGGTCGCGACTCCCTTCTTCACAGTGACGAAGGTCGGCACTGAACCGTCACGAATCGGCTTTCCATGGGTGCTTCCCACATCGGTGGTTCGTCCGATGCCTCCAAAAGGATGCTCTCTCCACATGGTGTGCCAACGACACTCCGTTTACACAGGGTTCAGTGGGCACGTTCGGCGCGAGGGTCTGCCCACTTAAAGCACCGCACCGTAGCTGCTACCCAGAACGGTTACGCTTGGCCACAAAACGACGGCCATGTGTCGGTGCCCTGGGAAACTGGTCCTAGAACCGCCAAAGTCTGTGTCCTCCTCCAGGTCAGGCAACGGAGTGCTGAGCTTGCAGCTCAGAGCCAGTCAGTGGATATTGTAGCTGCTATGCAACTATATGTACCTGCTTCTACAGCCCAAAATATGTTCTATAATCAGATTCATCAAGTTGTCTTGCATGGACTCTGAATCCCTATTGCTCAGTTGGAAACCCGCTTCAATTCAACAATTGTTTCGAACACGGGTGGAATTTATATGACATGTATACCTTCAATATAAAACCAGAAAATATATCGAAAAGAAGCCAAGAAAAATACATTCAACTCTCATCGAACCGTGTTTCGGAGCGCCCCAAAACCACACCACTATAGGGTCAGAGGTTGTGTGAGAGCTGGTCGAACGACGACACCGGTCTTGGGACCACAAAAACTTGTTGCAGAGGTTGAAACACTGCCCTGTCAGACTTCTCACACAGCCACGTACAGTAAGTGTTTCAGCTCTTTCTACAGACTGACTGTGAAGGCCCCGGACCTCCAAAAGGTTTGAAAGGACGAGCAAGACCCTTGGCAGTTGAAAGGTACAAGTATGTTGAACTAGACCAGGGTCTCCGACCCCAGGACGGATCGAAAAGTATATTTTCTGCACTGGAACAACTTTCTATCCGGCTTCTGTAGGACCTCAATGGGTCCGGGCCTCAGGCCTCTTGGGTCTCGAGTCGGGACATGTGAGGACATCAAACTCAGCAGCCTGCCCTGTACAGTCTGAATTCAGGCCACTCTCGCACAAGACCCAATGACTCTGCGCCTGATATGCAGCCTGTGCTCCAGATTTGTCATATTTCTAGTACAGGAAAGACGCGTGAAAAAAAACAAAAACAAAAAACTCTATAGAAGCAACTCGAACGATGTAGAAGATATAATTATTGTTATATAGTGGGTATTTATCCCATTGCCAGTAACAGTTGCCAGTAACAGTGGATGATGCTTTACTGTAGACCCTTCCCCAAAAGAGTGATAATATTTTACCGACTGGTAATGGGACACACACCCGACACGCCCTACCCAAACACTCCATGCATGAAACATATATATAAGTATATATAACTTATAGTATATACATTGGGACGGTTTCAGGGGTGAAGGTATAAGTCGTATAGGTAAATATGCCAGTCCCATGGAGTGTGTCTGGGATACTTAAAAAGCAAAATACTTAAACAGCAAAAAAAAAACAGCTGTTGCCGGCTGTTGCCGGCTCACCGGGTTTCGCTCGTTCGTGTCGCTCGAAATGGGAACCGAGGACGTGTCACGATGTGTCGCAGTTTTGGACGAATGGACTTTCGGACGAACGGTTTCTGACTTCGTTGGACAGTTTCTGCAACGTAAATAAGAAGCGATATTGGACCAGTACCAAGCAAAAGTGGCGCGCAACTCATGCACAAGTTTGTTGCCCAGTTTTACTTAACTGGGGAAGGTAACACGTTCTTCAAAATCAAGTTATGATATATCTCAAAGTTGCTTCATTACCTCAATATGGGGTGAGCCTGAGTAACAGGTTGTTGTGCCTTTGAACAATATTGAACACATTCAAGGGTATATAATACCATACTAAGGGTCATGACAAAGTCCACTTCGTAATCGGATTTCGTCAGCGCACTGCGCACAGCCGGGTCAAGTCTCTCTTCGCAGTCTGTGCTGCTGTTCAAAAGCATCGTAATTAATGACTTGGATGGTAAATTTGACCTACTCATCCGGCGTCCTTCTTGCCTGCATCTTCTTGTGTAAAAGGTACCTCCCTTCCTCCAGATTCAATGAAGACATGGAAAGAATGGTCTTCAGTCTCTAGTGACCCCAACGATTCCGAAAAGGACGTGGGCATGTGCCTGACATGGGCATGTGCCTAGCCTTCACACATCCAATATATTAGACCATGCTGACTGAACAATCTGACTGAACATGTTCCAGTGTCAACTTGATCACATCGTCATTTCGGTTTTCGGCCAGTCCCTTCTACCACTTCCAATTGCTTTGCCGTTGGAGACCCGGGATGAGAAGACCCAAAAGGGTTCCCACAAACACCTCAGCCGACCCAGGAGGCTCCACGGGACCTCGGCAGGTCACCACGTCACAAGGTCACCACTCACCATCCGGTTGACCGCAAGCCACTGCTGGGCTTCGGTCGAAAATTCGCAGCGGCTGAAGAGGAATCCTGCCGACCTGGAATGAGCCCTTCCAGGGCATGTCAAGAAGTGCTTGTCGTCTTGGGAATCATCCGAAATCAGCATTTCACCGCATGTCCAAAAATCCTGGACCTGAACTTGGCAAGGATGTCCTGCTTCAACAGCAACTGCGCATTTGTTGCGCAGGAGAGGATTTCAGAAGGATTGTTGCGTCCACATCACTCAGTAATCCACATCTAAGTTTTGCCCTGCAAGCTCGCATCGTTTGGGGCAAAACATTGTGGTCTGACGGTCTGACTAATGACTTAAGATATGAAACGTCAGATTTTGCCCTAGCACCTGTCTTGAAGTACCCACTATCCAACATGTGCTAGCTAGCTATACAATGACCCAAAAGAGTCAAACAATGCATGCTTTCCAAAGCAGAAAGAAACATGAACACCTCACCCATCACCAAGGATCTCACAGAATCTCACACCCTGACCGCCTCAAACAACTCAACGGTTCAACCATCGAGTGCTACACATTCTCCACGTAAGGCTTTGATAATCAGCTGCGAAACTTGGTCATAAACATTGTAAAAAGCATCGGATGCGCACCTCGTCTTCCCAGCGCAGCGCCCAAGGGATAGCTAGAGTCCGCCAGCACCTGGCTTGTTTCAGAAAATGACCTCGGAACCTCCAGACACACTGGGTAGTCCAAACACTCGTATGGCCATTCACCCCTGAAACCACCCCAAGGATCCCCAAGGTATGTCAACGTTCCATACCCAACGTCGAGTGCTGGAGAAAGTGGTCGTCCCCAACGTCGAGTGAAATGCAACGAACACGATGGTCTGACAAGGGCATAGCGAGGATGGTATGACGATGGGAAAGAGCGCCAAACAGAATGCTTTCCATTTCGGAGTGTGCATTTGGTTGACCCATGTAGAAATCTTCGGGGAATTCGAGCTCTGAATGTTTCTGCCCAATGTTCCTCCCCTGCTGTCGCACAAAAAGAGGGCAAGCCCTCCACAAATCTTCTGATGAGTCCGTTGCTGATATCATTGGAATTGGACACTTCTTTGCCACTGGTGCCCCTCACTTCTTTCCCACCAAAATGTGAACCTAAGCCTTCCCTGAGGCAGCACACACACACACACCTACTTCTGTCAAATCATATATATGGTCGAGTCAAGGGTTTCATCTGAACATGAGCGCGCGTGTTGACCCGTGACCCAAACATGTGTCCGGTGGTGAGCAACATGACGAGCTTGTTGAGTGAACAAATCAGCTTCCAAAAGGATGTTTCTTCCTGTCAAGACATCAAAACACCAAACATATCAAACACACGAAGTTCCCAAGCAGTTGGTTGCTTTGCCATCTTTGCCTCAAAAATAAACATCCATGTCGATGACAAACTCCTACATCCGCACAAACTCTTTGGGCGCCAAAGGCACACCACATTCTCCACAGGCGTAGACCTTCTCAGGGCCACCCACCTGCGGGTGTGCACGGCGTTCGGTGATGCATTTCAATTTTTCTATGTCTGACTGCCTGTAAGCTTTCAGCTGTGTAGTCATTCTAACGGATTCCTCTGGAAAAATAATGGCTTGTCAATAGCTTTTTCCTCAGAATTCTCACACCTCCCTGGATTTGTGTGTCTTGGGCGTTGGAGCTGGTCTGAGACAGTCTCTATAGTTACCACCCACCTATGTTTTTTCTAGTGGGTGTACATGACCAAGAGGTCTGTGTAAGTACCCCCAAAACTTACAAAATTCAATTCAAGTGGAACATTCGGACTGTCGGTCACGCCAAATCCCCACGGAGCGGACTTCGGTCACTCCTCCGGCTCCGTTGGACGCCGAGCTCGATTTGCAGGTCGAGCTAGGGAGTCATGGTGTGCTCTGTCCCCAGCAAGCCCCACCACTGTGCAGGGTGTTTGAGGGAAGGAGTAAAACTGCTGGTCAAGTGGTTCAATTGACGACAACTACTTAGGCATCAATGCAGCAGGGCGTAAATACAAGATCAGCCAAAGAACCTTAAAGTATACCTCCCAACTTGCTACTGTTCCCTTCATCTGACAGATATTTAACTGCTTTGGCTCGAACCTCCTCTCCAGGTGAACCTTTCCCACAAACGCCCGCCCCGCCCAGATCCTCTGGGTCGTGCCTCACACGCTGTGCCTTGCAAGGGATGTGGATCATAGCCGCAGGGCTCATCATCATAGCGCCGTAAACGGATGTAGCCTCGCGAAAAAACCC